GCCCACCCCGTTGCGCGCGCGTCCGCCACGCGCGCAGTGGGTCCCGAAGACGTATAACAATGCATTGACTGATGACGAGATTGATATGGCGACGATGATGATGATGTTGGCGATGATGGTGGTGACGATGCCGTTGATGATGATGATGCTGATGATGATGACGATGATTAGATGATGATGATGATGATGATGATGATGATGATGATGCTGATGATGATGCTGCTGATGATGATGCTGCTGACGATGGCGATGGCTATTTCGATGAGGATGGAAACAAGATGACTGTGGTGATGGTGGTGGTGATGATGATGAAGACGATGCTGACGATGACGATTACGACGATGTCGATTTCGATTACGATGGCCATGGTGGTAATGCTGTCGGTGAGAATGACCCCGGCGATGAGGATGCAAGTATGATGATGATTGTTACGAGGATGATGATGCTGCTTGTAATGATGATGATGATGATGATGATGATGATGATGATGATGATGATGATGATGATGATTGCGATGCTGATGATTGTGCTAAGTATGGTGAGTTCGATTGTGATGCAGATGGTGATGATGCTGATGACGAAAGCGATGCTGATGATGATTATGATGATCATGATGAATGATGATGACGATGCTAATTATGATGAGGATGACTTCGCCAATGCTGGTGATCAGGACGACGATGGTGATGATACCGATGGTGATGCTTTTGATAAGGATGATGATTATGGTGATGATGATAATGACGATGGTGATGATGATCATGATGGTGCTGCTGATAATGCTGATGTCGATGATGATTATGCTGGTACTGCTGCTGATGATGATGAATACCACGACTGCGATGGTGCTGATTATGGCGTCGATGATGGCGATGACGACGTCGACGATGAGTGTGGTGGTGACGATACACGTATTGTGGTGGTTGCTAAGATATCGTTTCTGATTGTCACGGCTATTGTTTTGATCGTGCTGGTGATGCTGGCGAAGATGACGGCTATGCTATTGATGGTTATGGTTTTGAGCTTGCTGTGGAGGATGGTGATGCTGATGAATGCGATGTCGCTGGCGATGCTCATCAGGATGAAGACTATGATGCTGATCATGATCATGCTGCCCATGGTGATCCTCATGGTCATGACTATCGCGAATATGCTGACGACGGTGACGATGGTGATGACGATGATACTGCTGATGATGCTGACGCTGATGATGCTGATGATGATGAGGATGCTGGTAACGATGCTGATGATGATGCTGCTGTTGATGATGATGATGATGATGATGATGACGGTGCTGTTGCTGGTTATGGCGGCTGTGACGGTCACATGCTCATTGTGATATGACAGTGACGGTGGTGATGTGTTGATGATTGCGTTGATGCTAATGCTCGTTACGTTGACGATGCCGACGGCGATGCTAAACCGATGGGGATGCTATTGCTATGTTTACGATTATGGCGTTGCTGGTGTCTATCATGACGCTGATCACAATGATGATACTGATGATGGTGCTGGCGAGTACGATGCTGATGACTGCCTTTCATGTATGTGTCATGCCACTGGCGACAGTGCTGGCGATAGTGAGTAAGCCGATGATCACGACGATGCCACAGTTGACTACGATCATGCTGATGATGCTGATCACCGCGGCTCTGATTATGGCAATGGTAATGGTCATCATGCGGAACATGCATGGTAAAACCATGGTGGCCCAGGTGATACTGATGATGATGGAGATGTTGATCATGGTGCGGGTGATATTGAAAGCTGCGACGCTGACAATGACGATATTGCACTTGCGATGATGATGTGATGAGGGCGATGCTGACGATAATGCGGACGAAGATGATGATTGCGATGGCGACGGTGAGGTTGACGCTGACGCTGGTGGCGAAGGTGACGACGATGTCGATGCTGATGATAAAGGTGACGGTGCTGATGGTGATACCGAGAACGACGATGACTGTGCCGACCATGATTGCATTGTGTATAATACGGCTGATGATTTCTATGTCAGTGGTGTTGGTGAGGACGTTGGTAATGATTATGCTTGCGATTTCAATGCTGACGAGTGTGATGACGATGGTGACGATGGTGCTGGTGACGCCAATGATGCTTACGATTGTGATGGCGATTGTGATCATTATGGTGACGATGAGGGTGGTAATGGTGCGGGGCGGGGGGGGGGGGTCACGGGGTACGGATGCGATGAGGAGGATGTCGATGACGATGGGGATGATGACGCTTATGATGACGATGCGGGCGATGTAGCGATGTATAGTTTGATGGTGGCAAGTGCGATGATGCTGGATAAGCTGATGATGTTGGCGGTGGCTTGTGATGGAAATTGCATGGTATGCTGCACGTCATGACGCTGACGATTCTGATGACGTTGACGGGAATGGCGATGATGATGCTGCTGCTGATGATCTTGATGATGTTGCTGATGGAATGGGGATGCTGATGCTGATGATGATGATGATGATGGTGATGACGCTGATGCTGATGACGATGGCGATGACGATGATGACGATGATGACTATATTGACGATGCTGACGATGCTGATGCTAGTGATGCTGCTCGTGATGATGCTGATGATGCTGATTACGATGATGATGATGCTGATGATGATTATGATGATTATGCTGCTGCTGATGATGATGACGATGGCAATGCTGCTGACTGTGATGATGATGCTGATGCTGGTGTTGGTGATGATGATGATGATGGTGATGATGATGATGATGATGATAATGCTGATGCTGATGATGATGATGATGATGATGATGATGATGATGATGATGGTGATGATGATGATGATGATGATGATGATGATGATGATGATGATGATGAGGATGATGATGATGATGGTGATGATGATGATGATGCTGGTGATGATGATGATGATGATGATGATGATGATGATGATGATGATGATGATGATGATGATGATGATGATTATTATGCTGAAATTACGACAACGGTGCGGAAGAGGCGGATGACCGTGTTTCAGCACAATCATCCGTATTGTTGTGACCGTTGCTTTTTCACAAGCCCTCCAGCGTTGGGTATTCGCGTTGGATAAAGCGCTGTGCGCTCCGTCCGTCTCCCGCCTTTCTTGCTCCCCTCCTCTCTCCTACTTGCCTGCTACCGTGCCTCCTATCTCCTCGTCCTGCCTGGATGTTCGGGAGGGCGCTGCGATCTGCGACATTATCGGCACTTTCGAGGGCTGCTGGGGTCCAGCGGGGTGACGTCCCACGCAGACTCAGATTAGACCTCGCCGTTCCTGTGGGGCTGCGATCTGCGACATTGTCGGCATTTCCAAGGGCTGCTGGGGCGTCCAGCGGAGTGCGGTCCCACGCAGACTCAGATTAGACCTCGCCGTTCCTGTGGGGCTGCGATCTGCGAATATGCCGCCACTTTCGAGGGCAGCTGGGGGGTCCAGCGGAGTGCGGTCCCACGCAGGCTTAGATTAGACCTCGCCGTTCTCGTGGGGCTGCGATTTGCGAATCTGTCCCCACTTTCGAGGGCTGCTGGGGGGTCCAGCGGAGTGACGTCCCACGCAGACTCAGATTAGACCTCGCCGTTCCTGTGGGGCTGCGATCTGCGAATCTGTCCCCACTTTCGAGGGCTGCTGGGGGGTCCAGCGGAGTGCGGTCCCACGCAGACTCAGATTAGACCTCGCCGTTCCTGTGGGGCTGCGATTTGCGAAACTGTCTCCACTTTCGAGGGCTGCTGGGGGGTCCAGCGGAGTGACGTCCCACGCAGACTCAGATTAGACCTCGCCGTTCTCGTGGGGCTGCGATTTGCGAATCTGTCCCCACTTTCGAGGGCTGCTGGGGGGTCCAGCGGAGTGACGTCCCACGCAGACTCAGATTAGACCTCGCCGTTCTTGTGGGTTGCGATCTGCGAATCTGTCCCCACTTTCGAGGGCTGCTGGGAGGTCCAGCGGAGTGACGTCCCACGCAGACTCAGATTAGACCTCGCCGTTCTTGTGGGTTGCGACCTGCGAATATGTCCCCACTTTCGAGGGCTGCTGGGGGTCCAGCGGAGTGACGTCCCACGCAGACTCAGATTAGACCTCGCCGTTCCTGTGGGGCTGCGATCTGCGCATATGTCGCCACTTTCGAGGGCTGCTGGGGGGTCCAGCGGGGCGCTGTCGCGGGCCGCCCAGGCCTCGCTCGCTTCTTGCACACACTACACGTAGGTTTAATCATTTTGTCGAGCGCCGCGGCGACATGGCGCAGGCAGCGCTGCATCTTTAGCGTGCTACCGACAAACGCAACACTTTTCGGTTTCCTCCCGTCACTCTCGTCGTCGTCTTCTGCCCCCATGCCATCTTCCCTCTGCTGTTGCCGCGCTGACGGGTCGGCCCCCCACATGTCCTTCTCCTGCCCTTCGTTCCCGCCTGGGCCTTCGCTCTTCGTCCTTCTGTCGTTGTCCTGTGAATCGTGCCATGTGGGCGCATCCCACGTAGCTTGGGCAGCGTATAGCGGCGCCTGCAATGCCATTGTCTTGGCAAGTTTGGGCCCACTCTTCTTGTCACTTGATGCAGATTAATTGGGTACGCCACAGGATAAGTGTTCCCAGCGCTTTCTGGATAAGGCTATCATTTTGCATCGGGCTCTGTCTGTCCGTCCCTCCCTCCTCCCTCCTCCCTCTTCCCTCCTCCTCCCCTCCTCCCTCCTCTCCCCGGTTCCTCCTCCTCCTCCTCCTCCTCCTCCTCCTCCTCTTCCTTCTCGTCTTCCTCGTCTTCCTCGTCCTCCTCCTCGTCCTCCTCTTTCCTTCTCTCCTTCTTCCTGCTTGCGTTGCCCGGCCACTTTCGTGGGCGCCTAGGACTTCCTGGGGGGCTGCGAAGTGTGAAACTGTTGCCCTGTTCGTGGGTTCCTGGAAGGTCCAGCGGGGGGGAGTTGTACTCATACCCAGTCGAGACCTCGCGGCTCCCTGGGGTGGGGGCTGCGAAGGGCGCAACGGTCGCCACTTTCGTGGGTTCCTGGGA